ACAATCCAAGCATAAAATGAGTTCCTTAAGTAAATAAATTACAGAATCATTTCTCTTTTGATTCGTTCTATCTATGTTATTCTTTCTTGGAGGCGAATGAACACAGATCTATGTGATGTTCTTCTTGCTGCGGTTAATATAGGAATCAGAAGGAAATGTAGAAGAAGTGATATATGCTCTTGAGAGCCAAATTTGGCAAATCTGGGCATTGTCCGCGGGATGGCAACCTCTCCCTCTGCCTCTTTCTTGCTTGCTCATCCTACCACTAAAGACAAGAAGATCAAAGAAGGCAACTGTGAGTGAGTGATCGAGAGAGAGAGAGAGAGAGAGAGAGAGAGAGATAAAAGGATCAGTGACTGTGGATAAAGTGGTGTTGGATAGTGTTTGCATAAGCAGTGAATCGGGTACCAGAAAAAGTAGTGTTCTATAAAGAGAGTACACGCACTCCAATCTTTTCCAGTGACGGATACATTCATATATATTATATATGTTCGACTCGAAGCTAAAAGACGAATACAGGACCGACCAGTTTGCATTAGATTTAATGGAGATTCTTAGTGGAAGTATGAAGATAAGATATATACCACTTGGAGAAGCCAAACTAGCAATTGATCACAGGTGATCGTTTTTGTACTGCAATACTTGATAGAGCAAAATGCAAGAGAGTATATATATATATATATATAGATATATATATGAGAGAGAGAGAGAGAGAGAAAGGCCACTGGTGCAAGTTGGGGCATCGGTGACGAGGATTGAAGAAAGAGGAGATTCCTAAGTGGGAGGAGACAACAAATTTAGATCCGCCAAGCTGTCTCCAATGGGCCCACGTTGGAAAATACATGCCGATTAGATTAATGATAAAATACTAAACAAACCAAGGACAAGATTTATGTAGAAAAATCTTTTAATATGAAAAAAAACAATGATAAAATCAGATCAATCTTCCAGTATAAAATAGTGAGATTATAAACTTAAGACTCTTTGAACTAATAAAAGGATATGAAATATTATATAAAGTCCATACATTCCTTCATATGAGTTTCAAATAAATAAATAAATAATAAACAAAAGAAAAACAAAATTAAAGATCTATATCAATCAATTTTGAAAGCATAGTGTCTATATTAGCAATATCAAAAAATTACAAGTTTCACTTACTAATAGTCAAACTATCTTCCATGCCACCTATCTTCCACACTCTCCTCCTCCTCCAACAATCTCTCTCTCTCACTCTCTCTCTCTCTCTCTCTCTCTCTCTTATCGTCCTCTGAAAGTTTCTCTTTTGGCGTCTATATATAGCAGCCAAATTCCTCCTTGATGATATTACCACTAACACTGACTCTTCCCATTCCCGTTTGAGTGACCATGGATAAGCTCCCCAAGTCTCAAGTAGCAAAGATGGTGCTCTTCCTCTTCTCACTAATCATCATTCCCTTCGTATCAACATCCTTAAGGTCATACTACCTCTACTTCCTTTTCAACACCCTCATCATCGCTCTCGGAATCGAGGCCGGTCTCCTCAACATGATTTCCGGGCCTCGTGACGAGAAGATCAACGCAGCAGCAGCGGCCATAGCCGTTGCATCTGCTATCAACGTACAAGAGGCAGTCCATGACGCTCAAGCGGCGATGCCTGCGGAGGCGACAAGAGTGCAGAAGCTGAAGCGCTGCTCGTCCAGGCCGAACCTTTTCTTCATCGACAACGACCAAGTTGATGGAAGAGTTGAAGAGGAGGAAGAGGCGGAATTCAAGTGCGAGTCGAACGGAGAGCTCAGCAAACAGGAGCTGTTCGTGAAAGCCGAGGCTTTCATTGCCAACTTCCACAAGCAGCTTAAGCTGCAGAGAGAGGAATCATGGAAGCAGATTCACGGGATCTACCATAGGGATTTCTAAGGTCCTCATTTCACGTAGTTTAGCTTATTGTTATATTATTATTATTATTATTATTATTATTATTATTATTATTATTATTATTATTATTATTATTATTATTATATACATATATATATATATACATATATATATATACTATATATATATATATATATA